CCGCAGTCGCAATTTTCCCGAGCCACTGCCTTTAAAAGTAGTTCGCAGATGGTAAACCGAAAAAAGAAACAAGCAAGGCTAACAGAGCACACCTTTCGCAGTCGGATCAGTTGCCACGGGACCCATGGTCAAAGGATTTGTCCAGCCTCTCTTGATGCGAAAACCAAGCAACAGTGAAGTTTTTTGCTCCTAAAAGCAGATGTTGTCAGGCAAAGTGCAGTGGAAAAAAATGATATTTGACGAACCTTGACGTCCGAGAGCCGCTGTATGTACAAATTCTCAAATCGCTCATCCATGCAATTATTTATTACCTAAAAATAAGGGTCAGTAACTAAAAAGGATGGAAAAAAACCAAACCTCGCTAAGTTTTTTGACAAATTTGAGCAAGCGATCATTCTCATCCACAGTATCGATAGTACACTCTGGGAGTTTAAGCAAAACTTCTTTGCTTTCTGAGATCAAATCTACTCTGGAAGGGAAATGATAAGCTTGTTGCAGCGAACAGCAACAGAAAATGCCTCATATACAACTAATTTGCAAACTAACTTGAAGTAGTGATCAAATGACGAAAAAAGATTGTGTTGCTCTAAGAACAATGTGTCGAATGCAAGAGGGTCACCAAGAGATGCTATAGAACGGCTGAGGTCCGCTTTCGCCTAAAAAAAACTCGTGTCAAGGTTGTTCACTTTGCAGTTGCTCGTTGGAAGACCGTTCAGATACGCTGAAGCATGAGTCCGCGCAAAAAAGAATGTTAGCATGGATTTGAAACAAGCTGTTATGATAACAAGTGCTATCAGTAAGACAAAGAACAAAAAAAAAAGGAAATGTGAAAAATAAGGGAGCGGTAAAAACGAATCATAGACCGATATCGAGAAATCGAAAATGATCAAGACCGACTTAAAAGAACGAACCAGCAGTAAAGAATCCTTTGATATACCGCTAGCAATATTCCAATAACCTGTACTATCCAGAAACACAACATCGAAAGCTGTCATATGAGCTGTTAGGACATCTTCATCCATATCCTCCGGTTGGAATCCTATTGCCGCGGACGTATCCCAGTTCACTAAAAATCGATGAATCGCAGCTTTTTACACGATTTTGTCAGAATTTCAGACCTACCAATGGCTGAGAATATATTTCTTAGCACAGTAAGGAGATCTTGCTGCTTCGCGATGACATTATTTTCTAACAAACGAACGACAAAGCTTGCCAGAAATAGGTCATCAAACTAAAATAAAGGCACTGCAAGTTACTCAGCGCGAGAAAGCCAAAGAGAATCAACCTCAGCCAAAGATCGACATTTAAACCATCGACAAGTCAGTGCTAATGCTGACATAATATGCTCTTTATGACGCAGTTCAGCAGAAACTCGTCGGATCATGGCTGGCTCAAGAATAGTTCGAAGGATACGTTGATTGAAATGTGGTGTAGCCGCTTCATCTGAACCAATTATATCATACGCACTTAGCACACCCCCTACTTCGGAAATAAGGGATAGTATGTGATGAAAATCTCTATATATATAAAACAGAAACATTGTGTGTGTGTGC